ATTTGGGATTGAATTTTTATTTTGTAAAACGTGAGATTAAAATTTAAGAAGCCCATGAAGATGGAGTTGATTTGGGGCCCGTATTTGTCTGAGATTTATGGGCTGCATGAATGTAATTTTTATAAGGCCTGGATCGTCTTTCTCCAACAATTCCTCCGAACCTTCGCGCTTCGTACTTGTAAAATATCATCAATATATATTACATCAAAAATATATATTAACCAGTAGAAAAGACTAATATCTCACAGCATAACGAATAAAGGTTCAGATCACCCATAAAAGATGTGCCTACATTTAATGCCTGAAATTATATTAAACAGGATTATCATTAATAGAAAAATACTTTTTTTTTAACCAGGAGATACCAGTTCTTAGCGATATATAAAGTATAAATATACATATTAATATGCACACCAAGTATAAACCACCAAAACCCGTATTGGTTGTTAGCGCCGTCAGTCACCAGCATGACTTTTAACCTTAGCTAGCTTTTTCAACTCTCCTTCGGTGACCATGAGACAGTAATCGAAAGGCAAGACACACAGAGATGCAAACCAAATTTTCTTTTTTGCTCCATATAAAATGCAATAATGAAAAGAAAATAGTTGTTGATAATAATTACAGAGATATAACCGATGCTATTCAACATCTTGATTTTCGGCAAATCAAAATGATTACTTTTCGATACTTCAGTCGACTAGGTTTTTATTCTGCAAATTCTACTCATTGCTGAGCAGCCTCTGCTGATCAAACCTTTTACGATAGTCGTGTCATATAGATCATGCGAAGATACGAAGCCAGAACCAATTTTTATTCATATTACAATTGATTGATTGATATGCTTTAGGGCATGTTACAAAGCACGAGGCCATTATTTTTCCTTCTTTGTTTTGGCCAAAAAGGCTACTATTCATCTTAATCATTCCCATACATGCAAGTTTTGCATAAGATTTTGGTATGACTTGTTCATATTTAAAGACATGGTTGCATTCAGGACACAAATTGTAGAATTTCCAAGGGGTTCAAGTTGAGACCCCAGAATTCTTGGGAGGTGTGTTGGCGACCCTCCAGCCCAGTTTGTCCAGCTTATCAAAGTAACGATCACCTGCCACTTCATCAATAGGAACCATCTCCGAAATTTCTCTGAGGTCCTCATCTGAAAGTTTCACTGCTAAGGCACCCACATTTTGATCTAGGTTCTTAATCTTTGTTGTCCCTACGAAAAATCCATGAAAGTTACATCAGATGACAAAAACATGTAAGATTGCGACCGAGAAGATACATAATAACTCCGATGTGTACAAATGATTGGCACAAACAACTTCAACACCACGAAATATTTTAAAACTACATAGATTCTTTCCTGTTCCGAGTTTGCAGAGAAGCTTTAGACAGAGTTATGCAGAATAATGGCTTATTCCAAAAGAATCTAATTCCAGTTCTGTCCTTGGATACTGATTTAAGGAGGAGTATTGGGAGGCACTCACCAGGGATAGGCACAACATCACTGCCTTGATGGAGTACCCATGCCAAAGCCAACTGAGCAGGAGTGCATTGGTGCTTCTTAGCTAAGCCTTCCATTCCTTCATATATCTTCTTGTTCTTCTCCAAGTTCTCTGCCTTGAAGCGCGGATGTGAGTTCTGATATGTACAAGAAACAACTATCAGACAAGCCTTGGTTCTTGAAGTGAGGAAATCCAGGCCAAATTAAACGAAGAAGAACAGACTAAACTAACTTTCAACTGATGATTGAAAAACAAAACAAGAGAGTAGTTATATTGTATACCAGGCTGCTAGCCGGAGGCAGAGTCTCCAAAACTCCTCGGCCACCAAAGAAGCCACGGCCAATGGGGCTATATGGCACGATTCCAATTCCAAGCTCTCTGCAGCAAAAGTCCATCACAAGAGTGGACTCACATTATCAGCCACACTAACTGAATAGACAAACATGTAGCCAACAGTGACAAAGTAATTGTAATTTTTAACTCTATGTTCAAGCAGCTGCTTGTAATTGAAGATACTGTTCATATTATTACCTACTACGAATAAAGATTCATGACACAGAGTAGAACTAACCTACAGAGCGGAATTATCTCCTCTTCACTGTCACGAGTCCAAAGGGACCACTCTATTTGCAGAGCTGTGATGGGATGAACAGCATGCGCCCTCCTAATTGTATCTGGACTCGCTTCTGATAACCCAATATACGTGACTTTTCCTTCTTCCACTAACTTCTTCAGTTCACCTACCTATAACATGAGATGAAAAACACATTATTATATTAGTCATGTGCCTGTCAGAATTCTCCGTGGCGTTACAACTACAAATCTAAAGAGAAAATCCATCTCAAAAGACTAGCCCATTCAGTAGAGCTCCTTAAACTTGTAAATTTCATTGAGGCTTAACACAATGCCATGATAGAAATAGACAGTCATAAGGGGCAGAAACGACTAACCGTATCTTCTATAGGAACTGATGTGTCCACCCTATGTTGATAATAAAGATCAATGTACTCAACACCAAGGCGTTTCAAGCTGGCTTCGCAGCATGAACGCACATATTCAGGCGTGCCATTGACCCGGAATTGGAAATTAGAGAAATTTGCTTCTTCAATGCCAAACTTGGTTGCTAGTTGTATCTTTTCTCTAGGCAGCTCCTTCAGGGCCTGCTCAACAAAACGAGAATTTTACGCATTCGAAAGAAACTAACCCATTTGACGCAAAAGTCTTCTTCATAATAAATCGAAGAGCCTAAAATCTGGAAGGACATCGTGTTTGCTCACCTTGCCAACGAGAATTTCATTAGCATTGGCTCCATAAACATCGGCAGTATCAAAGAATGTGATTCCTTGAGCGAATGCATGCTTGATAACAGAGATTCCAACGGCATCAGGAAGAGGTTCATTGTAGCTGCCACTTAGTCCCATGCAGCCAAAACCCAGCTTTGAAACCTGTCAATTGCAAAGATTAGCCAGGCGAATGGAAAATAAAATTACATTGTATGGTACCAAGACGGTCAAAGAAAATACCTCAAAGCCTTGGGATCCAAGCTTAACGCGAGGCATGGATGGTGCGGCCATTTAAGTGATTCAAGAATGCGTGTGAGAATATATGTTTCAGTATCACAACACCGATCGATGCAAATATATATAGCAGATGAGGAAGAGATCCTGTTTCCAGGTGTCAGTGATATGGAATTTTGTGATCGTCACTGAGTATGTTAGCTTCGACGTTTTCTGAGGTCAGCGATGACTGGTAATGCGGGGACGACAGTCAAGAAATGATGAGAGTGGAATATAATAGTCAGAGTGCGGGGTGGGGAAATGATGGATTCCTGAATCTGCATTAGGATCCAATCCTCATCGTCGCTTCCTTCCAACGGCGACATTTTTCCTAGTGATCACACAAATTTTGGTTTTCTCCATTGAACTCACCAAGCCGGCCCCCTCATGATCCTCGCACAAATTTCAGCAATGGAAGAGGGATGTGAGGCAAGCATTTTTGCTTTTTAGTTTATATCAAAGGGTACAGTCAGATCTTTTTAAGTATATTCAGCATTCCGATCTTTTTTATAATGCATCTAGTATTTTGATTTTTTTTATGCATTCAACACTTTAATCTTATTTTTAGTACATTCAACATTCTAAAAATTAGGTGTTAGATGTACTTAAAAAATAATGTCGAGGTGAGATGGACTAAAAAAAAAAATCAGAATGCTAGGTGTATCATAAAAAAGATCAGAGTGCTAGATGCACCTGAGAAAAAAGATTGTGGTGCTACATGCATATTTACCATATATCAAACATATTTTTAAAACATTTTTTAATCTGTTTTTCCAATTTTATTTAATTTTACAGTTGTTTCGGATATAATTTCAATTTCAATCATTTTAAAAGTCTCCTACCATGCTAAATAGGCCCTTATATTGGATAAGAAATTATATAATTAGTCCATCAAATTATGAAAGGCATGAAAACCCAGTGAAAAAAGACACCAAAGGATGAGAACAATTTGTTCTTGTTTATTCATTTTTTACTCCGCCGAATATGATGTGATTAGATGCGACTTCGCTTTTGTTTTTTTTGTTTTCTTCTGTTTTTTTTTTTTCAAGTTAACGCTCAGTTAGTTCAACTCTTTATCTTTTAATCTTTATCTTGGCCAATCATCTTTTCAGTTTTGGCCTTTATTGAAAAAATTTCAAATATATTATTCCGTGAAATTAGATTTCGAAAATATAAAGCTCCTTGCATCTTGTATATATGTATATACTCGTATAAAAGTTAATAACAAGATAGATCATGAGATTCTTTATCTGGTTTAATAATATACACTGCATAGTCTTATATCTTATAACCTCCTTGCATCCTAAGATGAGATAAAATTGGAATAGATTTGTACACCAAAAAAAGGGTTAGATTTTAATGCTTGTTAGCATGCGACGACGTGTTGTAATTATAAGTCATGCGCAAGGATCAATGCACAAATCTTATGTTTGAAAAAAATCTTATGTTTGAAAGATACCGATTCTAGTTTGGGAAAAGAAAATCTTAAAAGTAGGAAAAAAACGAACAACTATCAATGCTCAGTTGATAACGGTATCGGTAAATAATTTTGATTTAGACTCAAGAGTATTGACTATTTGTATACATTTGCCAAAACGAGACTGTGTGTATATATCTGATAATTGATTAGAATTATTATTATGTTATAATACAATATAATTACAGTTATTATGCGTACACAAAATAAAGAAAATCGCACAAAAGATTTTAAAAATTAAAAAATTGCATGCAAACACCTATTCACAAGATTTGTCATTTACTTATTAATTATTGTCAGTGATAATAGTCTCTATTTGCAATTTTTTTTACTTTTAAAGTTTTTTGATTTTTTTAAAAAATAAGTACAGTAATTATATATTATACATGTGATGGCCAACAAAAAAAAAAAAAAAAAAAAGCAAATAAACCCACCTTCGGTCATTCCTGGTGCTCGCGCCAACGAAAAACCCTTGTCTTTGCTTCTTTTCATCGCGCCTCTTCTTTGCGTTGTCGCCCGCTGCGACCATCTCTCGCTGCCGTCAGCCATTATTTTCTCCTCCCTAACGAAGAAAGGTTGCCTTCCTCTTCCATCGTTAGTTATTGCTATGCTTTTATTTATGAGCTTTATCGCACAGCAGCATTCTCGAACTCCTTTTCCTGCTCTTAGAGTATCTACTGGTTTGGCGTGCCATCTTGAATCCCAACGTCTTTGATTGTTCTCTTTGATTTTCCAAAGTTACAGTGTGACGGTTGTGGTCACTAAAACCTTTTCATACGGGCTTTTCATTGTTTATATGCCTGACCAGCAGTTTGCGGCTCTTTTACTGTACGTGCCTTTCAACATGCATATGTTTTCATCGCAGAGTTTTTCTGCTCATTGGAAACATAATATTACAGATTTTGAAGTAAATTGAATTTTGTGGGTTTACAATGCCATCCAAACAATGCTATTTAATTGAATTCCATGGATGTTGTTGGGACTTCCTTTTCAAAGTTCAAACAGGAGAACTTGACAAATAGGTTCAAATTCATTTTATTAATAAAAATTTAGCCGATTTTCTCATGAATTTGGTTCCGAACAGGGTAACAAGGATCTCACAACTGTGTTCAGCATGGGAGGGTCCCGAGATCAAATCAATAAGCGTCACAAGTCCCGCTTCTCTTCTAAATCTTCTCGGCATCAACATAGAACCTCTGTCAAAGGTTTATATACTGTGTTTTCTCTGCCTTTGGAGTTTGTACTTCACATGTTTTTCTGATTAAATGTTATTTTTGAGTATAACAGTTTTTTTTTTTTTTTAAATGGCATTTGTTGAAGCTTTTGTGAAAGGGTGGTTGATCCGATATCTTTACACAAATTCAGGAATTTTCTTTTGATTTTTCATGCCAATTCAGTTTACTTTAGACTCTGCACCTGAGTTTTTGACTTCTGATGTGAAATCATGGTGGTACTTCCGTCTTCATCCTATCACGTAGTAACTTACTGAGATATTTATTTTTTTGTTGTGAAATTGGATTTTTTTTAGAGAAGAGTTTGATAGCAAAAACAGAGTGCAGTAATGTCAAAGGAGCTCGAGCGGCTCGATTACAGAGAAGTAAAATGGTAATCTTTCTCTCTATCTGTTTCTTGCTCTCATATTCTATCACTTTAATTCCCCCCCCCCCCTCTGTGTTACATTTGCCTCACATAGTTTGTAAATTCAGATACGTGACCAGAAAAGGGCAGCCCTTATGAAAGAAAGAAGAGAACTTGGTGGATCAAGAAATCCTCCCAGAGTAATAGTGAGTGAACCTGTATTTTTGTTGGAACGAATTTGACATTCATCAGATATTATTCTTAACTTGGTTTATTGTTTTGGTTCATTTCCACATAACTGTACTGAGTGCATTGCTAGAATGTTCTTATCTTTTATGGATGACAGGTTCTGTTTGGGCTTTCTTCTTCTGTGGATTTAGATTCAATTGCTGAAGATCTTTTATCACTACTATCTGAAGAAGCAGTTACGGTGGCATCAGGAACAGTTGCAAGTTCTGAATATAGGACTAGAGTAACTGTATGTCATATTGCCATCTTATTGTACCTCTGGTTTTTCATGTACTATTTCTTTGTATTTCTACTGCATATTTGCATATGAAAAGGCTCAGTTTGTCTGCTTTGTTGTAAACGTGTAATCTACTTAGGACATCACAGGGTTTTGAAGGTATTCATTTGCATGCGTTTAAACATAAGCCTATGCGTGGTGAACAAGTGTAGTCTATTATGATTTGAATGGAAGTCATTTTCTCAGATATATTATGGAGAATATTTTTGTTGACCAAATATTTTATACTCTAGGTACTAAAAGCACCTCATGGTGATCTACGATTGTGTCTTGAAATGGCCAAGGTATTAATTTTTGCTTGTTCTGTTTGTTTCATGGTTTCGATGGCACCTGAAGTGCAAAGCATTGGGTATTTTCTGACTATTTATTTCATAGGTTGCTGATCTGATGGCTTTTGTGGCATCTACAAACTCTTTATATGCAGAACGTGATTCCTACTACATCGATTCATTTGGAGATCAATGCCTTTCTGTCTTTAGGTCTCTTGGTTTGCCAAGTACTGTTGTCTTCATTCGTGTAAGTTAGGGTGGATGATATCTGCCAGGCTCTATAAAACAACTTACATGATCTTACTGTCATTTCCCAGAGAACTAAATCAGGTTTTGTATATACACATTGATGTGGAAAATTTTCTTTACATTCCTTTAGGATCTACCCAGTGAAATTAAGCATAGACATGAGATAAAGAAGAGTTGTATTTCTAGTCTTGCCTCAGAATTTCCAGAGGACTGTAAATTTTATCCAGCTGATACAAAGGATGAACTGCACAAGGTAATATTTCATCTAGTGTTTTGGCTGCAATATATCAATGTTAAACACAACTTTAAGCATATGACGTGATATGCCCATTTTGATGTTCTAATCCGCATGTTTCTTTCCATTTGATTGTTATATTGCAGTTCTTATGGCTCTTCAAAGAGCAGAGGCTTAAGGTTCCTCACTGGCGAACTCAACGGCCTTACCTCATGGCGCAGAAGGTTTGAACTGATTTTCATAGTTCAATCCACATGATAATTGGATTTATCAATTTTCAGCCTTCTATGTTGATTTTATTTATCTTTTTTCTTGAATTACAGGTAGATGTGGTATCTGATAACGAAAATCCAGGGAAATGCACTCTCCTTCTTACTGGTTATCTTCGAAGTCACAGCCTTTCAGTGAACCAACTGGTAATCACCATACCCATGATTTGGCTATTTTAATTTCACTGATTTATCAGATGTCTTGACTTATTTATGTTTCGGCTCAGGTTCATGTTTCAGGTGCAGGAGATTTCCAGTTGAGTAAAATTGAAATTCTCAAGGATCCGTTTCCTTTGAATTCAAGGAAAAAGCAGGACCTAATGGATTCTGATGAAGTGGATAAATCAGAGGTATCGGCTCTTCTCACATATAATCAATGGGGCTTAAATAATGGCATTAATTGTGTTTTGGTCATTCTTAACATGCCTTGTTTAAATATTGAAGTTTTTCATGTTTTTTCCCATTAGCTTTCTATGCTTTGAATTTTATTTGTTTGCTCATTTCTTTCCTTTTTTTCCCTTTGATTTTGTAGGCCATTGGTTCTCTGGTTCCAGATCCCCTTAAACAAGAGCCTTTACTTGTTGAGAATATTCCTGACCCTCTTGCTGGAGAGCAGGTGGATGATGAATCGAATTCCTTTATTTCAAGTCTCTTTTAACATTTTAATTTCTGCTTACATGCGTCACTTGTAACTATTATTGTGTTTGCCAATCATTACCTGTTTAATTTATATGCTGTTTTATAGTCCTTGCTTTTGTTGTGGTGGTTGTTGTTGTTGTAGTTTTTTTTTTTTTTTTTGTGAGTACATGGTGCAAGTTGTTGCTTGAGGGTTTAAGTTAACTGGATCACCCATAACCTCTCACCTTTAAGGGTGAAACTCATGCCACTAGTCCTAGAGGCCACTGGCATGGTCCTTGCATTTTTGTCACTGCCCTTATTAAGCGGACCCTTTTTGGTAGTTTACTGCCACCAATTTTTTGGAGTAACATTGTTTTAGTGCTTTAATAAACCAGAATTCATTTCTTCTCAACTTCCACCGGTGTAATTAAAATTATTCTGGAAAATTGTTAGACTTTTCGTTATTTACCTTCAAACCTATGACTTTAACCCGCTTGTTCCTAAATCTTCTGAATTCATTTGGTCAGCTAACAAACATGCTCTATTGATGATTTTTTTTTAGCTTCAGATTCGGGTGAAAGCCAAATGATGCAAACAACACCCCCCCCCCCCGGCCCAAAAAAAAAAAAAAGGAAAAAAAGGGAAAACGAAGAAAGAACCCTGCCATCCTTGATAACTAGCCAAAATGGCTATAAGTTATTTGTTGTTTTCTCTTCTTGGCCATGAACCCAGGTTTATTTTTTAATTATAAGCTGTCCTGGTGTTTTGGACTGTGGCCTCTTTCTGACATTTTTCCTTATAAGTAGACCTGGCCAACAGAGGCTGAAATGGCTGAAGCTGATAGAGATAAAAGACAGAGACGAAAGAGGACTCTCCCTCGAGGCACTTCAGATTATCAGGTCTAGACTTCATGAGTTCTCTTATTTCTGAGTGTCTTTTGTTCCTCTCTTTAGTATCTTTCATGATGCCTTTTTTTCCTTGTAATTTACTGATTATCAAACACCTCTATTTAATTATAGAATGCATTTTTTATTTTAATTTTCAGGCTGCATGGATTGTGAATGATACTGATGAGGAGGTATCAGAAAGTGACAATGAGGATATAGATGGCATGGTGTTGGATGAAGGGGAAAATGATTTTCCTGGTCAGGAGAGAAACAAGTACTTGGACTTTGATGGAGATGAAGCTTCCCTCAAGTTCGGAGATTCTGAGGAAGAGTTGGATAGTGATTCAGTGATGATGGTGAGCTTTTAGTTAGCTACGCCTATATTGAGTGTGTCAGAGGAGCCTAAGCCTTTTTGAAATTGCTGTTGCATCAGTTATTCTTGCACATGTAACCTACATGCATTATTTATTTAATTGAATTTTTAATTTGTGTTTGTATAATTGTGTTTTATGCATTTTTCAATTTGTTGAGCTTTAGTATGGTAGTCCTAACCCCTGGCAGTGTCATTAACTTTTTTAAACCTGTCAAGTGACAATTTTTTAGTGACATATCTATTGTTGATCAGCAAAGAATAACTTATTTTTGTTATATTGCAGGACGAAGATAGCATGACTAGAGAGAAGATAAAAGATGAACTTAAGGAAATTAAAGAAGCACATGCTGCTGATGAGGGTGATTTGTTTTTTTCCTTCCTTTGTCTTTGATATTATTAGTCACAGTGGCCACTTGAAAGAAATAGATGCATTTATGTAAACCAATGTTTGGTTTTTCATTTTGTTCTCTCTTTTTTGTTTTAGATGTGATGATCTGGTTCTTATTGAGTGTGTCTTGTTACAGAATTTCCTGATGAAGTGGATACACCATTGGAGGTTCCTGCTAGGAAGCGTTTTGCTAAGTATAGAGGACTCAAATCCTTTAGGACTTCTTCATGGGATCCTAAAGTATGTGTGTGTGTGTATATATATCTATATATTATATTGCTTTTAGATTATTTATAGTCAGCTATCTAGCCTTTGAAAGCCTAAAAACTGATGTTTTCTTTGACTATACTAGGAATCTCTGCCTCAAGAGTATGGCAGAATTTTTGCATTTGACAACTTGAAAAAGACTCAAAAACATGTCCTTGCCAAGGCTTCGGAAATGGAGCAACAAAACGGAGAAAATTTTGTCCCAGTAGGTTCATATGCTAGATTGCACATCATGGAAGTACCCTGTGGTGCTGCTTCCGAGCTTTGTGCACTAGCACAATCGGTCCCTATCACAGCATGCGGCTTGTTGCAGCATGAGTCAAAATTATCTCTTCTTCATTTCAGGTATTGTTGTTGTGTTTTTTTCCCCCTTAATATTCTTTTTTATTTCACTGTTGAATATTTATGTTATAGGTTTATATTCTTTATTTTCAGCGGAACTAATACTTGTATTCTTTCTAGTGTGAAGAAGCATGATACATATGATGCGCCCATCAAATCCAAGGAAGAGTTAATATTTCATGTTGGATTTCGCCAATTTATTGGCCGGTATTGTATTTCATTTCATAGATCATGGCATTTAAATTTTCTCTAAGGAAATGATATTGAGGTAATTGATAATTTCTGTGCAGGCCAGTTTTCTCTTCTGAGTTCATAAATACAGACAAGAACAAGATGGAGCGGTTTCTTCATCCAGGCCGTTTTTCTGTTGCTTCAATTTATGCTCCAATTTCATTTCCTCCTCTTCCTGTGATAGTCCTGAAGAAAGCTGATGAAGGTGCCAAGCTTTCAGTGGCTGCTGTTGGTTCACTGAAAACTATTGATCCAGATAGGATAATTCTCAAAAGGGTTATTTTGACAGGGTATGTTCTCTCTATATTCTTTTATGATAATCTGATTGATACCATGAAGAAAAAGTGATAATGATGGTTATATTGTCTGTTGTATAGTTTGTGGAATGATACTGGTCAAAAAAAAAGAAAAAAAAAAAAAAAAAGGAAGTTTGTGAAATGATCAGCCAATGTTTAATGATATTTGAAGTGTGTTACTTTTTTGTGGCGTAGTTACCCCCAAAGAGTGTCAAAACGTAAAGCTTCTGTGAAACACATGTTCTATAATCCAGAGGACGTCAGATGGTTTAAGGTAAGAAAATGTATACCCGGCTTTTGCCTGAATTCTAGTGCAGATAAGAGTCTCTGTCTGTCTGTCCCTCTCCCTCTCTATATGTATATATCTATCACTTAACACCCCAAGAAAATAGATTTTGCCTTCTCACTTTAACATGACCTAATATGGATGGTGATTGCAGCCTGTGGAACTCTATACCAAATGCGGTCTTCGTGGGCGGATTAAAGAACCTGTGGGTACACATGGTACGTTGCATACATTAGAGATCTTAGCGTTTTCTTCTCTCTCTTTTTTAGGGCGGAGAGTTTTTTACGTTGTGCATTTAATACGTTTTAGGCTTGTACCCGCTTCATCAATTTTCTTGCTGTTTTTGATTCAGGGACAATGAAGTGCCTTTTCAATGGAGTCCTGCAACAAAATGATACTGTATGTATCAACTTATATAAACGCGCCTACCCCAAGTGGCCAAGCCATCTTTTTCCACTCACTGACATTTGAAAGGTTGGTGATGCAAATCATGGTCCAGTTTTCAAGGATCATTTGCATTTTCACCAACAATACGAGTCATTGATAGAAGAATCAAGGAAGCAATGCATGCATTAGTAAATGAGCTGAATATCATTTTTTATTTGAGCTGATGTATTGAATTTTGTTTTTTATATAAAAGGCTTTCTTATTGTAAATGGATTACTAATCCTATTTGGGTTAGAAATCCATGTTAATTTTTGTTTTAGTCGGGCATTTTTTGGTGTAAATGAATTCTAAATCCTATCTTGGCTGAGAATTCATATTGGGTTAACATTAGTAGGTATAATCCATTAACTTGAGTTCACCTTATTTTCTTATGGTGCTTAACTTCTTAGAGGATTTAAATGAATAGTGAGTTTTCAGAAAGTTGGTAGTTGGCTTTGACGCCTAATGGGTTTGATTCCATCTATGATTTTATACCATCGGTGCTTACCCTCGAGTTGTGGTGTATGTATTGGTGTATTTATTTTTTTAAAATAAATTTTCATTATAAAATTATTTTAGAAAATTTATATTTTAAAGGATCCGAAGTCAGCGTAATGTTTGCCTCGCCCCAACCACACCACCCGAACCTCAAAGCCGAAGAAACAAAAGCAGTTACGGAGGTGGTTTATTCAATTCACAGGACTTGCTTGGCAAAATGGAACAAAATAGGGAGAAAAAAAGGTAAAACCAACAAACAAAAAAACGAACGCAAGATATCTTTTTCGAAACTTATGTCTCAAAAATAATAATAATGTTAATAGTTGAGTGATAATAAATATTTCACGTGGGATGAAAAAGGACCCCTTAAATTGTACCGAACGGAGCCTACAGAGTGCGAGAACTGGAAAATCAAATCAAAAGAGAACCCGAGAATCAGGTTTTATTTGGATTCCCTGCCCCAACTCCACATTTACCCAAAGAACAGAGAGAGGAAAATCTACCCACACGCAGGACATCAAAAGTTAAAAATGTAAAGATTAGTCATTCTCTATTCAATACACATGACACCGATGAGCTCATTGCAAGCTGGCGTAAGTAAGATTTGCCTTACAAAAAACCTAAATATATTGGCAACCTCAAAAATACCTGTGCTACATATATAAAAAGCAGACCGCCCACAAGCCTCAAAGCTACATCTTTTGTTCCCCAGAAAATTGTACAATTAAGCATTGAACTCTTTTGTTACATTCAAACATAACTGGCTGGTATTGTTTACAAACTCCAAAGATTCTCTCTGGTTGAATACAGAACATACAGAATTAAAGAATTCTGTCCTGAAGGTCCGTTAACAAATTGGAGGCCAGGGAGCTGAGCTTCTTTCCGGTCTCCCCCGCAATATTTTTAATGTTAGATATATCCTGCTGAGCCTGTTAAACAAGACAAATATAGATGTACAATGGAGGGCGGGATAAAATCGCCAAAAATCCCCCTAAAATAAAGTTCAAATGATGTTCCTCAATGCAGCAAACTGTTAATTATACCTGGAAGGACAGTCGATTTAAGAGGTCGTTAGCAGTGAGATCAATGGAGGATTTGTCATCCGAATGGCCAAAAAGATCAGCACTGGAGATGGCAGCTGAACCCTAGAATAACAAGAGGATAAGTAATGCCAAATATTCAGCATAGCCGAGCAACAGCACTTTTAACAAGAGGATAATTATTTGCAAGATTCTTCCACGCCATGTTAAATTTGGTTCAAGAGGGGATCGAAATGCCAAAACCATGCTAGGTTCAATGTTACTTCCGAAAAAATAATAAACTTCAGTGAATGAGAGGGCAACATGATTCTATCATATAGTGGTTTCTACTATCGCAACTATAGAAAATAGACAACTGCGATCCCATTAGAAGATGAGATTATTTCCTAGAATGGTTTTTCTTTCCAAATCATTTCACGTGACTTTAAGAAATCCCGATTGAAATTGTTATCAAAGAAACCACCCAACATTGGCCAAGATGTTTAATATACACAATACAAAATGCACAGCGAGTTATTAATTATAGATACACATACTGAAAACTTAGACAGAGTAACTTGAGCATCCACATCTGTGGCTCTGTTCTGATCCCCGTAGAATTGGGCTGAAGAAATAGATTTAGCATTTGAGAACTTCCTTCTCGCTTCATCAGATTCTTCAACCTGACAAGAGAAAGAAAAACAAAACAGGAGTACTAAGCATTTGTCTCAAGGTATGCAACCTAAAGACCCCCCCATCCACCAAAAAGGATGTTATCTGTGTATCATATGAAACTTAGAAAAACTAATATTGATCGAAAAATAAGCAAGTGCATATTGCTTACTTGCACTTTTGAGGAATTTGATCCATATTTCTTTGGAAAACCACTGTCCATTCCAAAATCTGCAAAGAAACTTGATGACTTTGGTGGAGCCACATGACTAATTAGATGAGACCCTCCAGAGTTTGACTCAGAAGGCTCGACATCATCAGCATACTCAAAACGAGATGTCAGGGGTGGCCCAGCAAGCAAACTGCTATTTGCTGAGGAAGAAACTGGAGCAGGTGGTTCTTCTGGCTTTTGCTCATAGAGAGACTCGCTTGGCTGCATTATATATTGTAGTATTTTAAAAGATTATATCTTCAGAGTATATCACAGAATGAAATAATGATCAACCAAGAGATGATTAAATGTGCTTCTTCAAAGTTCAAAAAATGCTCATAAGTTTACATACCTTTTTAGAAAGCTTCCGGGCACCAAGACCACTCTTCCCAGGTTTTTTTGCACCAATAGGCTTCTTTACAGCAGAAGAAACAATTGCATGTGAAGCTCTTGGTGATGCAGAGCTTTCAGGCATTTCTGTCTTCCCCGCAATGTTCTCTTTTGGTTCTTCCTTGGTTTTAACCTCAGGAGGTCCATTAGAAGTTTGTACAGACTGAGAAGCAAGAGGTGATGTTGGCAAATCAGCCTCCTCGGCCATACTTTTAGCAACTTCCTTCGAAAGAATCTGTCTATACAACTCTGCAGCTCTAGATGTATACTTGGCCTCTATTTTACCACCGTCTGTCCAACCATGTTGCTTAAAGAAAACCTGTGCACGATTATTTCCTCCAAAGCTCATCGTTCTTAGTTGCTCAGGGGTCCATGAATCCAAATTCGTAGATCTACATAGAAAAGGCATATGATTATAGGGAGACTAATATCCTTCCTTCTTCTATCATTCTTCTTCCTCCATTTTCTTTTATTTTGTTTGTGGAGTACAGTCTCATGAATATGCAAGTAAAGAAAACTTGCAGTTACCAACGCTCAGAATCACGAGGAAATACATCTAGTGTGATAAATGCATATCATTTCAATCTAGCCGGTAGCCATCCAAAAGTAAGTAATTACTCATTACCAAAGTAATACCATCATCTTATCAATATACCTTATTTTCTGACCCATAAATGTAATAGTAAACAAGAAGATCTGGAGCGTTCCTGGTTGGCTCCCTTTTTTTCAGTAAAGTAGTAAATAGTTAAGCTGTAAGACCCTACAAATCCCTTTCACATAGGACGACTGAAGAACACGACAAAGAATGGCTTCATATCACAGATCAAGTTTCCTATGCAAGTGAAGGCAATATGATATAATGGCTGTCACAACTAATCTAATGAATGCCACCTGTTATGAAGATTAAATCGAAAGAGATAATATTCAACATATGCCAGTCAAAGCCTAGAGCCAGTGACCAACACAAATTTATCATGCTATCCCCGGAAAACCCTTCATAGCTATCCCAACTAGCAAGAAAAACCCCTGTTTTGCACACTTCCGCCATTTACCTAACTGCAACCTCAAAATTCAAGTTTCAAGTTCTTCTTCATGGATCAAAAACAGTTTTCCCATTATAAAAATCCATAGCCAGCTTCTGAATGCATCCCCAATTTACTATTCGAATTTCAAAAAATTATTTGAGACGATTCAGCCACTCAGTGAGCTATCCTAAATTAATTGGCACATTCTTATCATCAAAACGTAAAAGGCATTGACTCCTTAACACTTCCCCACATACGAATCCCAACAGACAGTCGGCTAAGGAAGCAAATCAGTTCTATCGAATCCCAAATTTACGTTCTGGGCACAATAAATTCGACGTCTTCCTCCCTTATAAGAAAAAAATAACTCCCACCAAAATGTATTTAATAAGTAAATAAAAACCATCCCCTCTTCCTCCTAGAGAATTATAAGAAAGCAACAAAATCAACTTGCCTCACAAAACTTATGTGGACACCAAGACTGCGATGAACAGCCGAGCAATCGATGCAGAGAAAAATCCCATAAGTGATGGACGCCCAAGTTGGATTCTTCGCATTACAATCGAAACACATCTGAAACACAACCAAGCAAAACTAAAACTCGTATCGCAGATCTGAATCCGATCTCGCATGGTCAAAAACAATCCGAGTTCAAAACTTCAGAAAAGAATACGTTGAAAATATAAAATTAAGAGGCCAGAAAGCAGGAAGCCAGAGATGTGCTTCATAAAAGAACCTTATCACCAAAAAAAAAAACAGAGAGAGAGAGAGAGAAGAACCTTATTATCGGACTTCGCCTTCAGTTTTCTGAAGACAACGTTCTTATCGGTGAAGCTATCGGGCGCCATCAGGGAGGGGGAATGAAATCAAAAGTGGGAAGGATATCACCAGATGTGCTGGGACGCTTGAGCAACGATATATATACAAGAAACGGAGGAAATAGGAGGAAGTGAAACCGGAGAAACGAAGATCTCGGTGTGTTTCTTTCTGATCATTTCTCTGAAAAAGATCCTTTATCGGAGAAACGAATGATGACTGAAATGACGAAAGGGCCCCGGAGATTAGTGGACTCATGGCAGGCTTGACTCCAGAGACCAGAATATTTGTTGCCATTCTTTTTTATGGAACTGTTGACTTCAGATTAGAGAATCACAGCCCCTGTAACCACATAGACTATGGGAATCTCTGTTTAATTTTGTTTGGTATTCGTAAATTTTAAAATTATATATATTCTTAAATTTCTTTTTGATGTTTTTCAGCTTTTTATGAACTTAAATAGAAAGACTTTTCCTAATCATATATCAATATCCAACATAAAATATCTGTAACAAACCCCATTTTTCATAATTTATAAACAAATAATTTTTTAAATCTTCTTTAATACATAAAAATATTTTAAATTAAATTTAATAAAATTATACTTTATTTCTCACAAGAAAATATATCGTTGTGAGAAAATTGTAAATTTGATAAATTATATTAATATCTTCAAATTAAATAAATTTTTATTTGATAAACATGACACTATTTTTTTGCGTCTAAAATAGACTATAATCATATTATTCTGCCTAAAGTAGCTTTACATTAGTTGACTAGCAACAATTCTCATAGGGAAACAACTAGTTCAAAATCGCATTATATTTATGAATATATATAATAAAAAAAACGCCACGTCATACTTGCGGCCGGAGTTCAACTGAAAATTATTCTGCCTAAGGATGCATGCCAAGTTTTGATTCCCTGTTTTAATTTATGGATTGCATAGTTGTGACAGATGTTGTAGAAAATTAAAACATGAATTATTTTGGTTGTAGTTGTAGAAAAGAAGTTGAAAAAGCAGTCACAGTGAAACCTCGTAATGATGAATTGATCATGCATCAGTTAGGTTATTTGCTACCTTACAAGAACTGTATACAAATTATTTGAGTGACGTTGACTAGTCTATTGTTTGGCATATTAGTTAATGCAATTTAGGCCCTTGACAGTTATTAATATTATTAAGGAAATGTGGTGGGATCAAATTGCAAGCTAAGTAGATCCGATGAAGAATATATACGGTCAGTATGAAATATAGTAATATTGCAGTAAAATACCACCTCCTCCTCTTCCACCGTTATGACCACTGCTTGCTCTTCCTTCATCACCACCTCTTCCTCCACCGCCACCTACTCCAAGGCCACCCTAATAGCCACTTGCTTGGAGTTCTATATCTTACTACGTCCCTTTCACCACCTCCACATGCACGAGGATTAACACCGCTATCACTAGGTCCATATCCTCCATATATAGCCACCTGGACCTCCGTATCCTCCTCCAGAACCTCCCACGCCACCATTGTTCACGATATCCGAATCAAAGTTTAGATGCCCCTTGAGATCATGGATTGATCTTGCAGCAGCAACAATAAACTTACAAGTCGCCACGGGAAATTGTTGCAATCCCACCACCATGGTTTCAGCCAAGAGGTGATGGGTGCGTATATCGGCAATGGGAGGGTCCTAAGGCGTGCACCGTGCAAACTAATGACAGTACAATAGGACCTGTAGTGAAGAAAAATTTCAATTATACTAACAAGACTTTTTTACATTTATGTACCATTCCGATAATAAACATTAAAAGATTTTCCACAATGCAGCTCAGTATATAAACAAACGCATTCACGTACCATTAATGTAATTAGACACTATTGGGCCTTTTTCTTTGGGGGCCATACCCTAATGAGCTTTTGCTGTCGCCCATTTGTTTATTTGTTTTTTTTTTTTCGGCCGTCAGTTTGTTTGATCTGATCTTATTTATCATAATGATCATGAAAGGAGTTGGTTCATATTTCCCCTCTCAGTTAAAGGCTCAATATTATAACACCACTTGATTTGGACAACGCTGCCTTCGATTCATGACTTCACAAGCTTTTCTCTTTATAATAACAGACTGTAAATTTTGTGCACTACCATGCTTATTTGCTTATTGAAACCAGGGAATGAACGTTGTTATAGATGGTGTGAAGAACCCGATAAGCTAAGTGGGCATAAGGAAGGCCAAATTGCCAGAGAAGAAAGCGTGTGGCGCTGGAAGATAAATATTAATACAAACAAGAGAAAATACCATAATTGAAGTCATTAAAAGGCATGTGAGACTATGAGGCGAGGCTCTCCTTTTCTGCATATAAATGCTTAGAAAAAAGTCTTATAATTAAGACGGAAGAGAGTATTATAAATCAGACATCTTACTATATATGAATCACGAGCTTCGAATTATGTGCACCCCTTGCATTTTTATGGCTTATGATTTGGTTATTTGGGCACTGTATAACCATGGCACGCACTTAATTGAATTAGAATCCCCCCAATCTCCCATGGCACGAGGGGGGGGGGGAGGGCCGATGAAGAGGGCATGCTTGAAGTCTTCAGTAGAGGTGTCTTTTAAGAGTTACTCATTTCTGTTAAAGTCCAATTGTCCAATCGTTTTGATGTCATACTTGTAACTAGAGATTTAAACAACATTTTTTTTTATTTAAGCTTCTAACTCATGATCAATCTTAGTTCTTGTATTTCTGTGATTCAAGCTCTAACGTTAGGTTGCCTAATGGGTTATATCAATAAAGGCGAATAGTAATTGTGGTGTTATTTTGTTTTTATATATTTTCTTAACTTCGTTACTTAATTTCAATAATTTCTTAAGTGTATCCAATTTTTTTATGGAATATTAACGTTCTGATGAGAACAAGGTAAAATTAATAGATAATATATTTTCATATTTTAAGTTCAGGTTAATTTAAAATTTTTAAAAATTATATTTTTCATTGAGCTTATTTGCTTGCGTCATTTAGCTTATGTTTATTTAGGTTGGTGTCATTTGGTGAAGGATGATAAAATAGTTTGGATGAGGAGTGAGTTAGATAAGTGAAGAGTGTAAAGCATTGAGTTTATAATTTAATTGGTTGAGTTCACACGCTGCAGGATTCGATCGGACTAATTGTGATGGCCTGAAAGAGGTAATATGGAATCATCAGTATCTGAATAACCGATAACAAAACAATATATAATACTCCTCCGGTCCTAAATATAAGGCTCTTATATATACTAATATAAGAATTTTATATTTAGCCGGAGGAGTAATAGTACTCCTCCGGTCCTTATTATAAGACCCAATTTGACTTTTTATTTGGTCCTAATTATAAGACCCAATCCATTTTCTCTCTTATATTTATGCATTTTTTTCCAAGATAATCCTTCTAATAATGATAGTTTTAGCCAATATACTTAATTAGCAAGGATATTTTAGGAATAACAACACTTATTTATTATAAATAACCAACTTAACTTACTTCCTTAATCTCCTCAAATAAGTCAATTGGGTCTTATAATTAGGACCGGAGGAGTACATCACCAAATACTTCATAACCAGGCTACCATCAACTTTATACGCATTCTCTTATTGTAAATTTAATTTAATTTCTCTCTCACACACACGTTACCTTTCTTAATATGGCTGGTTATTGGTAAGACTAGGAGAGGAGCCACTCGATCTAGGACACACATAGTGTCTGTAACGTAATCTCAGGGATAATATCCACCGTGGCCGCCTCCTCCACCTCTTTCTCCACCAGCCCCATATCCACCGCCATAAGCCGCTGCCGCCATACCCTCCACCACCACCACCTCCTCCTCCGGAGCGCCACCGTCGCCAAAAGATCCTCTGCCTTATCCTCCGCCAGCTCCTCCACTGCCACAGCCACCTTCATATGCTCCCCCAGCTGAACAACCTCCTCCCCCACCTCCACGCCCACTTCCTCCCCCACCTCCATATCCTCCTCTATTTTCTCCACCATATCCGCTACCAGACCCACCTCCTCTACCCCCTCCATAACCTCCGCCTGCAGCACCACTACCTCCACCACTGCCTCCCATTTGTTTAGTTGATTTGCCGATGCTCTTATTTCTCATGATTCTCATATCCGAGATCTGGTTCACACACTCCACCACTTGTCCGTGTGTTGTGAAAGTTGGTAGGGAAATACCGGAGGCCCATAGCTATCATCCGTAAGAAAGGCAAATTGTTTGGGACCAAAGAGATCGAATTTAATAGTGAGCCGTAAACGAAAAAGAAAATAGTTGATGTATGTGCTATCCATTTTTCACATCTATTCCACTTACCGACCACATGATATAGAGTATAATATATTGTTCATTTTAATTACACCACAATTTGATGACTTGACATATATGGTAAGTATAACTTCTTTGTATTGGCAAATATTATCAACCATCATAATTAATTAATACGAATGAAACATCCTTTACACACACATTTGTGCACTTTGCATTTTTCATAGCTTAAGATTTGGTTATTGGGCAGTACCTACGTAGACATACATATTCTGAAGCGAGTATGACCATGGCATGCAACTTGAATTTCATGGCTTCCCTTCCTATTTATCTCTACCAACCCACCACCGACTCACTAGTGTCTACTTCACATCGGTTGCATCATTGCATGTTGGTTATTGTCTTCCATGATTCTTTCTTTTATTTTGTAGAATGAAAACACGAAATTCGTATCTTTGTCTTTGTAGCTCGGACAAAAACATGCTGCTGTACTATGATTTGTGAATTTATTCGGCGGATGTCCCAAATTTATATTATCTCGTAGATTTTCTTTTTCCCTTGGCCTGAATTTATATATATCTTAGAGATTCAACATTTTGTTGCTTTGGAGCAGGCTCGTCATAGAGGGTATTGTGCTCTCTCTTCTCACCGTTCAACCATTATTTACAGCTTATATATGCATTACAGGACCAACTTTTTCTTTCTAAAAATATTTTTTGTTCTACTTTCATCACTAAATTAACAAGAAGATCTTTGTCACATTTTCTTTTTTTTTTTTAAAAAAGCAATGTTTTTTTAATTAACATTATATTATCCCCATTGATGATGTTTTGCTTTGATTTTGGTTTGATAGGGATATTGCTTATTTGTTTTTAACTTCAGTGGTTAAAATCACGGGCTTCTACACATATGTCCCTTAACCAACCCGTATCATCTGAATGACCATTAGGTGGCCCCAAAAAAACACTTTATTTTATTTTTAGTGATATATGATTTTGTTTGATTGTAAGTTATAAATATAAATGCAATTAACAAACCCCTCTTGTCCATTAATCCTATTGCCAACAATATTCATATATCATTTGTTGAATGTGTTCACAAAAGTGACTCTATTATTGCCATTGCGAGCTACTGATTAAGATTGTCTGTTATCTTAGTTCCGCATTAATTGCACAATTATTGAAACTGGTAATGTACGTTATCGTCATCACTATAGGGATATACTCCTCCGGTCCTAAATGTAAGACCCTTATACTAGTGTGTATAAGGGTCTTACATTTAAGACCGGAGGAGTATATAGAGAGAGCATATGTAGCACTAATCTTGACAGCCTCTTGCTGGCACACATATTACACTTGAAAATAAAGCATAGAACGTAACTCAGTAATCGTTACTTTCTTATTATGCATATAGTTTGTTATATTAGTAGTACGAGCAAAAGGAGCTGTTGTTTCTGGACCCGATTGTTATCATCCAGTATCAGGGGTAATATCCACCGTGGCCACCTCCTTCACCACTTTCACCGCCCCCGCCATATCCACCTCCATGAGCACCTCCACCGCCATACCCCCCCCGCCGCCGCCGCCACCAGCAGCTCCTCCACCGGCTCCTCCTCCACTGCCATACCCGCCCCCATGTCCTCCACCAGCTGCACCACCTCCTCCGCCACCTCCATTTCCTCCCCCACCTCCATATCCTCTTCCATTTTCTCCTCCATATCCGCCACCAGCTCCACCTCCTTTCCCGCCTCCATAACCTCCACCGGCACCACCTGCAGAACCACCACCTCCACCACTGCCACCACCGCCTCCTCCTCCATACCCACCTCCTTGGGCTCCTCCTCCACCATAGCCCTCACCGCCACCTTTACCAGCACCCCCACCATATCCACCAGCTCCAGCACCGCCACCTCCTCCTCCTCCACTTCCACCGCCCCCACCTCCTCCTCCTCCAGGACCATATCCCGCCCCACCACCTTCACCTCCTCCATAGCCACCCGCACCATGCTCTCCTACGCCTCCATCTCCTCCACCTCCACTGCCCCCATAACCCCTGACCACCACACCACCATGATGCACAACATCTGCACCGAAGTTGAGATCCCCCTCAAGACCAAGGAGAGATCTCGCAGCAACGCAAATAGTCACACCCAATAACAGAAAGAAAGCAATACTGATAAGCTTAGAAGTTGCCATGGGAAAATGCTGAATTCCCACAACTATATGGTTTTAGCAAAAGAGGTTGTGTGTGTATAGGGAATGGGAGTGGGGATGAAGGGTCCTAAAGCGTGTATCGTGCAAAAAAGTGACAGCACAAGCTCATATAGGACCTACAAAAAAGAACATTCTCAATGACACTAAAGAATTTTTTTTTCCCCCCATAGAAACTTATATATTAGTGTTTGGGGGGAGGAGTAGTGAGCTTTGGCTGTCGCCCATTTGTTTATTTGATTGGCAAATGGTTCACACTTGGCGCCACTTGCCACTTTTGTAAGAGTTAATTAGCTAGCAGAGAAGTTCCGAATTGCACCACCAAATTATGAGCCCCTCTTGATTTAGGCTCCATGTCCAAATTGGACCACTTGGCTATGATACGTATATATCTCTCGAGCCTTTTCTTTTCAGAACACTGCATGCGTACAAATTTCTTGACTGGCTATTGAAGTTTGGGAATGAGCATAATTACATATATGGAGTGAATGAGCCATCATTAGAGGTCGGTTGTTTGAAACCAAAGAGTGTAATATTATACAACATCACAAACAAAAGAGGTTGATAGGATTTAGCTAATATAGTGTACAGCCGGAAAAGAAAAGGAAAACTGCTCATGTACGTAACATCTATTTCATCAGGCTATTCCACTGATCCAGCACACACGATTTTGTCTGTTTTAATTATGTGACAAAGTACTAATTTCTTTGTATTGAGGTAACTATATAAAATTGCCCCAATGATAGAGTGCTTTTGATGAGCTTCAACTTCTCTGGAAACATGCATTTCAAATACTCCTCCTCCGGTACTTAATATTAACCTAATTGGGAAGTCGATGTTGATCTTATATATAAGACTTATTTCACATGTTTATCAATTTTTTTCCAAATTAACCTTATTTATATTTTCTTGACAATGATCAAGTAGGAAAAGGAAGGAAAGAATTAAAAAAATATCATATTAATTAATTTAACTAACATTCTTAGTAGACTCAAATTAGTTATTAGGTCTTATATTACGGAGAGGAGGAGTATATATGTAGTTTGCACTTTTCATAGCTTATGATTTGGTTGTGAAGCACAATATTTATATATATATATATATATATATATATAATCTGTACCGAATATGTGTGGCATGCGATAACTCGATCGCATTTCATGGCTTTCACGTATGAACTCGTAATAAACCTAAACTTGGTAATTATCTCTGGCTGCCAACTACCCACTACCGACCCTCTCATGTCTACTTCGCATTGGTTGCATGTGGGCTGTCTTCCATTCTTGCTTGTTTTCATTACTTTGTATCATGATGTTCGTTACTTCGGATTTGTAACTTGGACAGAACTATACATAATTTGTGAATTTATGGGGCTAATGTCCCATGAAATTTATATTATCTCATGGATCTTTTTTTCTTGGCCTGATTAATTTATGTCATAGATTCAATAAACTTGGTGAGGGAATATTGTTATTACAATTACTTACATATATTGCCAAGTGGGGATAAACAACGACTACAATAATTTAATGAACTAGAGTGTATTTTGCTTACTTTGTTTGAAAATTTGGGATGAGGGAATAAATTATTAGTAAAACGTTAGCAGAGAGAGTTACCAATAGTTCCTGAGCGAAAATTTCCAGAGGAAACAAGATTGAACCTTAACCCTTGTTATAACAACTGCCAAGAGTTTACTTATTTACTGCTGGGGTATCTGGAACTATTTGAAGGCAAACTCAAGGCCTTCGGATCATTTATAAATATTATTTAGTATTTCTATAATAATCAAACAAGTCAGTTAAACTTCAAAGGGAAAAAATAGTTTTTTTGTTTTTGTTGACACGTCAAGAGAGTTTGAATCATGGACTTTGCATACATCCTAGCTCACCCACATATATACCATCTAAAATCTGAATCAGTATTATCATGTGGCAAGAAACAACGTTTTATATTTAATATTCTATTAATATGAAATCAAACATCTAATTGAACTGATTACTACCTTCGATTCTAATTATAAAATCTTATTTATAGACTATAAACAATATCTTATAATTAGGACCAAAGGTAATAAATGTGAGGTGATTAAATATTTTTCTTATATTTCTCATGGAGGTCATTTTACTGTCTTTTTCTGACGTACGCAGCATCATTTGAGTAGCAAGGATTTGAGTTGTGGGTGAAGTGCTAGCATTCAGTTGGCGGTAAGTATTGTTGAGCTCACAAATGTACAATAATAAACTGATTAATTAGTTGTGCTCTAGGCTTCAACTTTCACCTTTGTTACTTAATAAAAAAACTAGTTTGACATGCAATTTGGTCCTAAATACAAAATCTAATTTAATTTATCTCTCATATTTATCTTTTTTTTTTTTAAGATAGTCCTTTTAGTAGTTATACATGTTAAAAATTTGATTAAATGGTAGTTATAATTAATATATATGAGTAATAAGGATATTTTAGGAAAGACAATATTTATGTATTTCAAATAACTACCTCAACTAATTTTTTTAATATACTCAAATTAGTCGATTAGCTTTTATATCAACGTACGGAACTAGCTCTTATATTAATGACCGGAACTAGTACTTCCTAACAAATTTCCTAGTATGCTGCAACATGTCTGTGCCTGTGATTTTGTTCGATAACATATAAATATACAATATAATCCCCTCAATCTTGTCCATTTGTTCTGATGCGCGCCAATATTCGTCATTTGTGGAATCGAATTTATCCATTTCTGACATTGTAACTTAAATGAAGACTTTGTTCGTTGTCCGCGTGAACCATATATATATATGTGCGCGCGCACACACACATATATATAGCACAATTACTGAAACCGGTAATGTAATCATCAATTACTATTATGTATATATAACAATCTTGAGACGGCCTTTTGACATGATCATACACTTGACGAAAACAAAGCACACTCATTACTTTATATCAGCATCCTCGTACCCATTTTCTTATTATAAATTTTTCATAGTACATATTTCTTATCATATCTAGTTATATTAATTAGCATGAGTATGAGGAGCTCTTCTGTTTGCGCCATTGTTGTAATCCAATCTCAGGGGTAATATCCACCGTGGCCACCTCCTTCGCCACTCCCACCACCAGCTCCATATCCACCTCCATGAGCACCTCCACCACCATACCCCCCACCACCGCCACCTCCAGATCCGCCTCCACCGCCACCAGCAGCTCCTCCGCCATATCCTCCACCACTGCCATAACCCCCTCCGTGTCCTCCACCAGCTGCACCTCCTCCTCCACCACCTCCACTTCCACCCCCACCTCCATATCCTCCTCCATGTTCCCCTCCATATCCGCCACCAGCTCCACCTCCTTCTCCACCTCCATAACCACCACCAGCAGCACCACCGCCTCCACCTCCACCACTACCACCTCCTCCTCCATAGCCACCCCCGTGAGCTCCTCCTCCACCATAGCCTTCACCGCCGCCTTTACCAGCACCCCCACCATATCCGCCAGCTCCAGCACCGCCACCACCTCCTCCTCCACTTCCACCACCAGCTCCTCCTCCTCCTCCAGGACCATATCCTGCACCGCCTCCTTCACCTCCTCCAGCGCCTCCTCCATAGCCACCTACACCATGCTCTCCTACGCCTCCGTATCCTCCGCCTCCGCCAGAGCCTCCACCACCACCATGACCTCCGACTACCACACCACCATGATGCACAACACCGGCACCCAAGTTGAGACCCGCCTCAAGATCAAGGCGTGATCTCGCAGCAGCACAAATGCCCAAACCCAATAGTATGAAGAAAGCAACGCTGATAAGCTTAGAAGATGCCATGGGAAAATGGTGAAATCCCACAACCATGGTTTTAGCAAAGAAGTGGTGGGTATATATAGGGAACGGGACTCCATCATTAGAGTGGTCCTAAAGCGTGCACTGTGCAGAAAAAGTGACGGTACACCAGAACATATAGAAAAGCTACATTTTCATTCCCACTCAACAAAATAATACCATTTTCTCTTGTTGCATAATACCACTCAATTAAACATCTTGCTTTCATTTCTGCATATGCCCAAAAATCTTTTTTTCCCCCCTTTCCATACACATATATCTCTATTCCATTAACATAACCGACCTAAAACATTGTCCACTATATTGCATATACGAAGTACATGCATCTACAGTGGACACTGACGCACTAGTTAGTGAGCTTTTGCTGTCTCCCAATTGTTGATTTGATTTGACCTCATTTCTTTCTCGTCATGCTTATCGAAGAGCTGCTTCATTCATATTTCCTCTCTCACATAAAGCAATCGATACAGTTCACACTTAGCCCCCCTTCATTTCAGTTCTATATATCCTTTTGGACCACTTGGGAATTTGATGCATATATATATATATATATATATATCTCAAGTTTTTTCCTACACATATCTTCACTGCTATGATTATCTCTCTCTCTCTCTCTCTCTATATATATATATATCATGCTATTGTCGAAATTAATTAGGGTTTAAGATCTTTGTTATAGATCGCGTGAATGAGCCCGATAAGTGTCGATGAGAAAGCCAACTTGTTTGAAACAAATGAAGAAATAGGTGGAGGATAAATATAGATAATAGCCAATAATACAAACAAAAGCAAGTGCTACAACAACTTAATGCCGAGCCCGAAAAGAAAAAAAGAAAACTGTAGAATGTGCAATCCTTTTCAGACTATTCCACTGATCCAGCACATGATTGTATAATATATTGCTCATTGTATATAATTATTAATATTTTGTTAACCAGAGTGATTATCATGTGACAAAACTCTAATGTCCGTGTAGTGGCAAATATAATTATAATTCGTCATCCTAGCAACTATTGAATTGCACCAATCATAGAGAGCTAATTGTGAGCTTCAACTGTTTATAATAGTGTACCACACTGAGCTTGAAATAAATATGCATATTGGCTACAGATGTGGACTCCTTTTACCTTGAAATCTTATGATTCAGTTATTGGGCACTATATTTTGAGGTGATTATAATCATGGCATGCTTGGCGAATTTATTCTTATTGTCACACGATGTAGATATTAATTCCCCCAATCTTTATATATGTGTGATATATTTTTCATTACTTTAATTTTTGGTCCTATCCGTTGGAAGCTTGTATATTTATTTAACTAAACTTCCTTTATGTACAATTCATCTTCTCTATGAGCAAATTATTTCTAATGTTTTGTACAATCCATCATCCTAAGGACTATTTGCCAATTAATTTATTATTAATAGATTTATCCCTAATGTTCCCATCATCCTATTGGTTACATCATATGATAATTTTTTTTATGAATCATTGCTATTTTTTATCATCAAAAGTTTAGATGAGATAGAACTCAAAGGTTCACTAAGATCCAGTCCCTGAGGATCAAGAAGTGTTTATAAAAATACTTATCAGTAAGATCCTTACATTAACGATAAGTGCAAGTCCACGTACACTCAAGGATGGAGCGATGTTGAAGTTAGGGGTTCATCGATAAATAATAATTAGTTTGGAGCAATTGTTCAAATCCCTCTAAAATTATCAAGAATCTTATATGGCGTAGACATCTCTTTCTTTATTAAAAAAAAAAAAAAAAAGCCTGCTCACCCAAATAAAAAGTCTGGCGACATAGGAGTAATCATTCAGATTAAGCTCCAAAAACACTTTGCCCCTTGTACTAGCATGACTCAGTTAAAACAAACAATTAATATTCATTTAATTAATATTACTGTTATAAATGTGAGGATTTTTTTTTTTGGAGAATTACAATGAGGTTCCAAGCAAGGAAAACAATTAAAAAAAAGTCCCGGAGGTTGTCATTCTCACTATAGGACTTGTTATTATATGCTGTTGAGGTTGTTATTGGGACCTTTCAGTAATTATTTTTTTTCTGTGGGACTTATTGTTGTAATTCCTCCTTCTTTTTTTTCATCCACCACATGCGAAGATTTTATCAGTGCGTATATAATCTTAAGACCTGAATACTCATATACGTTCTCTAGACCTTAACACCTTATCACCGAAAAACAAACCCAAGACCTTTCATCATTCTGATGAGTTAAGTTTTTTTTTCCATCATGATATATAAAAAGTATTATACAAAAATGGACTAAAATTAAATGAGTTGTTTTCTTTTTAACAAGGCAGGGTTAGGTAGTGACGGAAAGGGCATTGCTTAGGGCAGGGAGAGGAGATAGGAGGGCAGTGGCTTCCAGTGGTGTGATGGTGGATACTCTAAATTGGGCAGCAGCCCGCGTGAACTTGGGACCCACCCCGCATATCCTCCCACTGGACCTTGCCTTTTCCGCCTTTTTTCTCTGCCAAAATATTGTTTTAGACCCACTAGGATATGTATTCATATTTAAGTATCTGATAGTATCTTAAATAGAATTACCTTTAATAGAAAGATACATATACTTTAGAGAAAAAAATATTGTTTTAGATTTTTTTCTTTCCTATGGGGCTATGTTTGGTATTGGAAATTTTTAAAAAAAAAAAATTAATGAGCTCAATTTAAACAATCAGAGAAATCGAGTTTTAAAATTTTAATAAATAGAACATGTAAGATAAAAGAATAATAAAAATTAATTAAAACTTTGAATCCTTATTTTTTTATTTTTTAAATTGAGCTTGTTAAAATTTTTTTCTTCCCTCCGTTTTCTTCATACCAAGTAGACCCTAGAAGATTTCAACCCATTAATTTTTATGGGCATGTATATATATTAAGATTAATTTTTTTATAATAATTATTTCATGGAGGGTCCTAATGTTATTTACCAGTAAACACCGAGGAGTAAGAAACTAATGTTATTTCTAAATATATTTTTGTGCTTGCAACTCGAGGAAACTGCGATAAGGGACCTCAAGATGCGCAAAACCGTTGAAAGTGAGGTTATTTTTCAGATAGGTAAGATATCTCAGATCTTTAGTATCAGGGGGCAGATTAGGAGTACAAGGATTTGACCAAAAAAAAAAAGATTAGGAGTACAAGGAGAAGAGCAAGTTTGAGGAGTTAAGGAATCTGGGCAGTGGCTCTGGAATATGATGGGCTGGCCCCAAGAGACAATAATAGGCCTGGGATGGGGGCCTTTATTGGGCTTGAGGCCTGGTTCGTCCCTCACAATCAACTTGCTTTCTCACATTTGGATGGGCCTTGAGAATGAAATGAACAATTTAACGGGAGATGTGGTTTGGATGCGTAATTAAGGATAGTTTCTCATAACATAGAGAATCAAAGTTCGAATTCCCGTGATAAGAGGTGCCAACATTTAGATTGTGTTTGGTAGGAAGCATTAAAAATGAAGGATTGAGATTGAGATTACTATTGAAAAAAATCATTCAAATAGTATTTAGTATGAGTAATTACTTATTATATGGGATTAAACAAACCCATAGAGGTGGGATTGGAGAATACCACTTCCCCCCATGGTATTCTCTAATCCCACATACATGGGTTTACCCAATCCCATATTACAAGCAATATTTGATACTAAACATTTTTTTAATAGATTTTCTCAATTGCAATTCCAATCTCAATCCCTCATTTTTAATGCTTTCTACCAAACGCAACCTTAGTGTCCCATAGTGTCTTGAATATGATTACTTCCAATAGAAGGATACTTATGCTTTAGCATTAAAAAAAAAAAAGAGGATACTACAGTAACAGTAATGGACAACATGGGGATGCATTTAGTTTGATTTGGGCAGTGTTGGGTGGGAGGGGGCACCGACACAAGGAAGTGAAGGGAACAACAACATATTCAGGGAAAGAGAACTGTAAGCATAAAAGCAAAAGAGCAGGAAGAGACGTGAAAAATGAAAGTGGCGCGGCCGTAGTAATATGGAGGTTTGGTTCATTGCCTTAGAGTGGGCTAAGCCTGAGGGCATGAGCACGTAGCTTTTATGTTTTGGGTACAACCTGCGACTCGTCTGCCCGCCTTCTGTGCCTGCACTCGCTTTCTTTTATTTTGTCCCAATTATAACTGTCTAGCTACTGTCTACTATAATCTGCTATTCTGATTTGCTTTCATGCCGGGGCCCAAAATAAAAAAATAAAAAATCCAGTGACCATTTTGGTTTCCTAATGCTTATCAGCTTTAATCTCGTCATTTAATATTCCCTTCAAAATTTTCAGTTTTCTTCTTTAACTGGCTGAAATTAACATTTCTACGAGCTTGCCATTTCATCTTTTCTTTTTTTCTATCGCAACAGCTGAAAGTTTATATTTTCTGAGATGAAAAGATTCACAGAATGATCACCCTCTATAATTTAACTATGATGAGACAATAAATTTATTAAAGCTGAGCCCATAAATAAAAATCATCACGCAGTCAAAACCACATACACGCAATGCCTAACAACTAGCTCGGCCTCGGCCTGAGCCCCTGGCGATTGCATTTTATGACTGAAACTGCGCCCACAAAGAGGAGGAAATTAAAAAAAAAAAAAAAAGGAGGAGAAGAAAGAAACAATAAAAGGAACAAAAACAAATATAAAAGCAAGATCGCACATTGATTTGTAGTGATATTGTGGGTCAACATTTGACTTTTCTCAAAGTGCTTCCATTTTATGACCTCAACAGTGTGAATAGAATATATGTGTGTGTGGGTAGACACAAGCACACGCTCAAAGCAAGATCCATACATGTGTGAACGATAGTTGAATTGTGGTGGTAACATTTTGACTTTTCCATGGGAATGTGAGGGCATATGTGATCAAGCAAGATATTATTCTATGACTCTTTTTTTTTCATGTTGGGTTCATATTATTATTAGTTTTTATAGTTTAATCGAATTTTAATTTTAATTTTGACCTTTTAAATCATGATTCTTTCTCTTTATAATTTTAGGGTTAATTAATCTGCAAGTCCTTATAGTTTCAACGAATTTTGAATCAGGTCCCTATAGTTTTTTTTCTTTTTATCAGGTCCTTATACTTTTACCTTTTTTTAATTAGATCCTTGTATTTATTTTTCTTTTAATAAGTCCTTATAATTTCACTAAATTTTTAATCAGGTCCATGCAGTTTTAATTTTTATTTATTAATTAAATATAAGCTTAATTAAATAGATTAATACTGAAATATAAAATATTAATAATTAAATTAAATTAATAACTATGTAATAAAAAAGTAATAGAATTAATTAATTCAGGAAATTTTTTTAGAACAATTAATTTTTTTTTGCTGAAAAAATTGAAATCATTATAATAATTCAATATCTTTATAATATTATTGTTTATAAACTAATATTAAATAATATATACTATTTTATGTTTATATAATAGTACTATTAGAATTTATAAAATAAAGAATAAAAAATTCAGGGACTTAATTAAAAATAAGGTGAACTTATAAGGACTTGATAAAAAGAAAAATAAATAGAAGGACCTAATTAAAAACAGGTGAAAGTATAAGGACCTGATAAAAAGAAAAAAAACTATAAGGACTTGATTCAAAATTAATTAAAACTATAAGGAGCTATGGATTAATTATCCATAATTTTATAAAGACTTGGTCTGAGTTTCATGGTATTAACTTTTAATAATAATGCTCAGCATATGGAACAAAATCAAAATTCATCAAAAGTATAAGGAATGAGTAGGTTTTGGTTTTGGTTCATAGCTATACTTACATGGTTAAATTATACCAAATTCTTATGAAATTATAATGACCAAAAGTCAAAACTACAATTTAAAACTGTAGGGACTGCAATTTATTTTTTGTGAGTAATTAAAAAGAGATCATATATAGAAGTTTAGCAATTCTAAGCTACATAGAATGAGTGTGTAATTGTATAGAGTTGAAGGAGATTACAAAATTCAAACCAAACACCACCGTTAAAGTTAAGCACAGTATAAACTACAATTAATGATTTGACCTTGTCAAGTAATCTCACACCTCTTATCGTAACACTTATATATAAATTATTTTAATATTTTTTATGTGTAATCGGGGTTCAAAATCAAAACAAAAAACTTAAGAATAAGATAGTTTTAAAGTAACCACCATCACCAACCTCATTCTCCATTTAATTAATATTCAGAAGCTCGTGTGTTCATCCCTTTCAATTAAATGAAACTTTTGACCGCCACTTATTTAATTGTTTTATCCTTTTGCATATTTGCATGGTCACAGGCATAGACCTAACGGCCGTTGTTTGCATAATGACAGTAGTTATTAATAGCAGCAAATATTCAAATGGAGACACTAATAATTGAAGAAAGGAGTGTCTCCATAATAAAATAAGACATCGTATACTTTTTTTCCCAATAAAAACAACATATAAATTTCAAGACTTGTCGATACAATTAAGCACATTTTTTAAAAATTTTCTTAAATGTGAGATTGTAAGTTTGACTAAGTTCAAATCATCTGTAAAGAATATGATAATAATAAATCACGGTTACTTTCAAATTATCAAATATATTGAAGGGTTTGAATGTAATTTTTCAATATATTTCATCTTGTGTCACATAAAAATCTAAAGGGAACACAATAATGATGATCAAATTCAAAGCAACCCACTACCTTCCTTATATAATTCACCAAAACCAACTTAAAATGACATGATAAGTCGATAACTTCTTTTCCAATTATAAATCCAAAGTAAAAACATAACTATTTGTATGCAACAAAACGTTTTATTGGTGCTAACAAAACTATGTTTTAGATGTGAAGAAAATACAATATCCACAAAATTTTTAAGATATTACTACTATTCATATATATCCCTGTATTATTGCACGGCGATAAATAATTTTTTCCAATTGATACTGCATGATATATATTTATCCAATTTTAGCTACTATATGTAACAATTTATTTAAATTCAGGAAAGAAAAAGAAGGATCTGGGGAATTTTGTCCAATTTTGCGCCCCTTATTCTTATCGGAAAAGGAAAAAAAAAGAAGATCTGGCTTGGAGAGCTTCTTTTGCATCAAAAAGGAGAGACGAATATCATTTTCACACATCTGTTTTCTAGCCTGTGTTTTGCTAAGCAGCATCCTTTTCTTGTACAGACAACATAATCTCTTATAATTCAATTGCCCCGTGGAGGCTTCGAAAGAGTCAGCAAGCCTTTTTTTTTTTTGGCCTTCACAATAATGACAATTCAATTAGATATTTTGGTGCTTTATTACAAAAATATCTAACATTATCTCTATTCTCTAGGGCGCATGCAAGTGCAGTAACAACTATTGGAGCTAAAAAGGTTTTTTTTTCCCCTATTCAAAATATAAGAAGGTAATCAGATAATTAATAATGATTTTTCACTTTTATCGGTTGTTACAGAGAAGAGAGAGTTTTAAAGAGAAAAAAGAAATTTTTTTCAATCACATTCTTTGATAAGGATAAATTAGGTAATTTTTATTATGATTAATATAATATTTGGTCATTTAAATTTGCATTCATTTTGGTTTTAGCCCATCAAATTTCAAATCATAGATTTTGATTCTTCAAAAGACAAAATGATCGAAGTTTTTATTGAGTTATAAGAACTAATATTATAAATGAAAAGAAACTTAAGGGACCAAAACTAATATGAAGGCAAATTTAAGGGATCAAAGTTTGTATTAACCTTTTTTATTAGTTTAAAATATATTTAATGATTTAATTAATATGCGTTAGTCTGTGAAAAAATTTAAGGCGTCTTATATTATGGATCTATCGGAAGGAGTATTTTGAATATTGTTGTATATATGCAATAATGATTTTAAGTAATCATCAGAAAACATGAGAAATGATCGAGGGACTAAAAATGAAATGGCCGATAATTTTCGAGTTTCGAAAGAACATGGGATGACCCAAGCATTATTAATTGTGTATTGTGGGGCACACTGTGTCAGGCGTCACCTTATATTTTTCAAATATATAACGTCAAATGATATTTTATTTTATTTTTTGTTCAATGATGGTCGAAGATTGAAATTTCCATTGTTCGCAAATTTAATTTTCCTAATCGTGCTTGAAAAGTACTCACCCTTAACCGTTAGCCTGGCATTTATATATATATATATATATATATATATAGACACACGTGATTAATTCTAAACACAGTATTGAAATTTGTATCTTCCCTATAAACTGACCTAATAAACCGATAATCCAGTCCCCTAATTGATCCAAAAATGAGATTGAATTGGATTAACTCAGTTAAACCGATATGATTTTGACCCTAGTGCAACTTGGTCAACTTGGCGAGCTGAACAAGTCAATCAGTTCGCGCGGCCAACACCGAAATGATGGATATTGTTTTGGCTGAGTTAATAGCAAATTTTTTTTTTTGGAATGTGCTGAGTTTAAGATAATTTTGTGGTTAAATTATAATTTTCATATTTAAGTGACTTTAGTCATTCGTGTAGTCCCAGGATTAAGTTGTTGCTTGATAATATTGTATAAGAAATTAAAACTTTCCATGACTTATAGATAAATGTTACATCTTGATGGTTAATGTCTTGCTTTTAATTCAAGTATTACTCCTCCAGTTCTTAATGTAAGACCTATTTAACTAATTTGATTAGATTAAGGAAGTTAGGTAAGTTAGTTAATTATAAAAAATATGATATGTTTTTTTCAAACACCATAATCATTTTCCTTAATATTCTCATTCCCTCTTCTATTTGATTATAGTTAAGGGAGTATCCATAGGGGTAATTTAGAAAAAATTAATAAATATGATAAATATGTCTTATATTTAAGATCAAAATCAACTTGACATTAAGTCCTATATTAAGGACCGGAGGAATATTTTTTTACAATTGTATGTAAAGATTTTTAATATTTTAATTCAATAACATTATTTTAAGCATAATCCATCCGACCCTCGTTTAAACTACTGAAACAAGGTGTAAGCGAGGCAAAAGAAACAAAGTGTTTGAGTTTAATTCCAGTTTATCAGGGAACACTGGCTCTCGCAAATACTAAATCTGGACAAATCACCAAATACTGTGCTGCCTACATGTTGCTTTGATATACAATTAGTTTAAGATTAATATCAATATAATATATAGATATTGAACCCATATATAATTGATTAACATAGTAAGTGAAGAAAGTTTATGCTCTTCTTGCCTGGCTTTATTTATTTATTGATCTTTGTGCTTGTGTTTGCAAAAACATAATAACGCAGAGCCTGAATACGCATCAGTGGCCGCCTTAATGGCATTGTGCAGAGTGAATACTTTATATATATATATATATATATTTATATATATATCCTGTTTCATTCATATAAATATTCAAACATGCTTGCAATATTGATGCTATATTGATTGATGGAGACCAAAACATGGGAAACATATGTACTCCCCAATCCGTGGGGCAAATGTATAAACTAAGGCAGTTAATAAGGCTCGCAAGCTAAAGACACTTTGCCTCTAATCATACACTTTGGTCCCTTCCTACAATAATACATCTCTAACATATGCCCCTTTTCCCTTTTCGGCCCCCCTACCACTCTTGCTTTTTCTTCTCCTCAACCAAACACGCTTCAATCGTAATTCTATCATCATTTTTTTCACATTACAAAGGAAGAAGAACAAGGCCTCATATTTTATCATTTTTATTCAAGAATATGCAGATCCGGCATGTTATACAAATATCACTCCCAAAATGGAAACCTTGTAACCAAAGGATCAATATTTGCTGAGAATTTAATCAGTAGTTAATCTCACACACAGGGCACAGCATCTCCCTTGAATTTATAAGATCTATTAGGCCTCAAATCTTAGGATTAAAAGCAATCCTCTTAATCTTTCATAGGAGATACAATATATTATTATACGTATATATATTAAGTTCTCTGTTCATGTAGAGCATTTCATTTTTATCTTAACATAGTTTCACCTCTATGCACACGCCACCGCCTCCTGAAGGATTTTCGACGTCCTGTTGGATTGCCTGAATGCCTTCATTGGACTCGGAAAGTTCCATCCCCTTCCCTTCTTCGCTCCTCTGACCTCTCCCATGCCACCGCCATCGGGAACTGCCACCGACCTCGACTTCATCAGCGTCGCCGTCTTTCCATCTGCACTCTTCACATCCTCTCCCATCACGACATTCTGACAATTCTGCTCTTGCATTCCGCTCCGACTGCTCTTCGGTGGCTTGAACATCGACCAAAACCACCTCGTCGATCGGATTCTGGTGAGACCCGGGAAATCCTTCCCAGAGGCTCCGTCATGATCGAACTCTCTGTCGCCCCCGCGGAACCTTGAGCTCGAACGGAGAAACGGAATGGCAACGGACCGCGATCGCTTCAATCCTCCGGCGGCCTCGCCTGCGAGGGAGAGTCGAGAAAGGGAAGAAGAAGTGGAGGAGGATGGAGAGGAAGAGCTGGTGGCGGCGGAGCAAGAACAGGGGCGGACGTTGGCGCAGTCAGGGCAGAGAGTGGCGAGGCGGTCGCGAAGGCAGGCGGGGCAAATTCCGGTACGGCGTCGTTTGGATGGATGCTTGGGACACTTCCAAAGCTCTTCCTCTTCCAGATAAGATCCCATTTTCGCTTGTTGGCCTGAGCTCCCTCGCGACGAAATATTTTGCTGTGATTTGAATCTGTTGCTCTTTCCGGGGGCCAAAGCCGCCAAGGTTTATATAGACTACTGAGCGAAGGAAGCGAACAAATTAACTTAACCATGGTTAATGTGGACCCGACTGGGGTTACGAGGAACGGTCGGCGTAGAATGGTTAAAGCGGGGGCAACGAATTCTGGTTCATTATGTCTAATTTAATTATTTGAATTAACATTTAAGTTAGCTCTGTTTTTTATTAAAAAAAGAAAATTAAAATGCTACCGCTGAATTGTCAAGAGGAATCCTATTAATTTATGCTTCATAAATTTAATATCCATCTTTTTTGGGGAAAAAATGTACGCTCTTTGGTTTGAAAAGAAGAAGAAGAAGAGTTAAAATGAATTATCAGTGAAGCAATTGACAAGACATCTTAATTTGGAGATCATTCTCACAAACTCTTGACGATTAGCTATTTAAGCAAACAATAACTCAAATTGTAGGAATTTTAGCTTAAATTTTTAAAATCACAATTATTTTTTAAGTTCAAGTCATGACAGTGTTGTGAAATTATAATTTTCAATATTTTTTTTCAAAAAATAATAATACGATTGCTTAAAATAATAATGACTGACTTTTAAAAGTATGCCATATAAATTTTATAAAATATGATAGCTTAAATTTAATTAGCCGTTAAAATTAGAAAAGCGAGAGGGACGGTTGAAAGTTGTGGGGTTGTTGAGAAGTTGAGAGAATGAGGGTCTCAGTTTTGGCCCTTATTTAAATTCACACAGCGTTTATCACTTCATTGAAATTAAGACCCACGTTTTCACATTGTGCATGACACGTGAATCCACAGCGTGTATAAGCAGACTGCTTCTTTTATTATTATATTCTTATTTATAAGCTATTTCGTAAATAAAAAATATATTAAATTGATAATTTTTTTCATATTTGTCATTATAAGAAAGGTATTAAGAAGTGCGCTTATATTTTCTCTTGCGTATTTAAGTTAATAAATACTTATATATAGAAATAAGCCTTTTTCTACAAATAACTCATAAAAAGTAACAAAGTAGTATTTACGTTTTAAACCAATAACAATAAACTCAATAATAAATAATAAATTAAAATTAAAATAATATATTCATATTAAAAATTTATTAAGTTATTTATAAATAAATAAATAAAACACCTCCCTACCGTATAAATTTTATAGAAGAGCATAAGGGACAGAGAAGGTTAATTTATAAATAGCACTTGAAGAGGATGAGATAAGATTCATCTACCGCCTTGATTGATGCGACGGCTGACGATATAAAGCCATCCAAGAACGCATAAACTATTTACTAATTTGCTTTATGAGAAAAACTATTTATTAATTTGCTTGTGTCTAGTCTAACAATAAAAATAATGCATATTAATTGCATGATGATCAAAGGCATTTTGTTGTTTTTTGACCCGAATGATCAAACGCATTGCCATTGAATAACACTGGAATTGTTTGACTGGGCACCGCCTTGGTTGGCTCACGCGAGGGAAGCAGCACTCTTATTTATTGGCAGCTCAGTCCTCATGTGTCATATCCTTAGTACTCTATGTGATATTTATTACGAGTTTTAAACAGATAATTCACGAATTAAAAATAAATATATAAAATTCATTAAAAATAATAAATAAATTAGAAATATAATTTTATTTTTAAATAGTCGTTGTAATAGATTAAAAAAGAACGAAAGAAAATGTCCAGAGAAATGTGACAAAAGAGTATAGCAAAAGAAATAAAATAAATAATTAAGATCTATATTAAATATTTAGACAAACTTAAATCGAAACTTATATAAAACGGACCGTATCTCTCTATAAATTTAAAACTTATAAAGAAAACTGGAAAAGCATATAATTATGCACTTTCCTTCAACTTCTATACTATTTAGAAGGTATTTTCAATATATTTTACTGAAACTAAAAAAATTTAATCTCAGCAACTATATTTTAAAATCTAATAAATTTTTAATTTTATTTCTATTTAACAATACTCTATATGTTAATAGCTGGTTCTCGTAAATAATAAATTAGCGGTACAGTTATCATAGTTATATAAGAAAATGGGCTCAATCTCAGAGCGTGAAATTCAATTTGATTTAACTGTGGCCAAATTCAACAAGGGCGTGTTTCATCCGCCCCACGTGTGATGATTTTCAACTTGAAATCATGGTATTAGTGAACAAATAGCATCATCCCCTGATTTATTGTTTATAACCGAAGCCGACGCGTTCCATATTTCGGTCCACAGCCATCTACACCGCCTTTTGGTTTGGGCGTCTCTTTTATTCTATCCCCCCCCATTTTTCCTGCTGCTAAAATCTTTTATTTTATTTTTTTTGCTGAAGAACATGTATCTTTATATTACAGGCAATCCTATTCGTGATACTGTCGGGTACTAAATATAGACATCTCTCTCAATAAGGATTCGAATGGTACATCATGTTATGAGAAACTAACTTTTTTTGCTAAATCCAAGCCGTTGGTAAAATCTTTTATTCTGTTCTCTATGTTTAAAGTCTCCCACTGATCAATTACGCCTTGAATTCCACATTAGGCTTCACTGGGTCTGGCAGCAAGCCCATATCAAATTGTATTTTAGGTCAGGATCCCATTGGGTCTGGTAGTAAGGTCCATGTCAATGTTTGGGCTCACTGAAAACAAATTCCGTGAGTTGGACTTATTGACATCGGCAGCCCATTGGGCCGCACACAGGGCAATTAGATTTTGGCCCATATCAGTGTTTGGACTCACCCAAGCACAATGAAGATGACCTGGGCTCAAAATAAATTCTCATCTAAATAATTAAATTTTTAGCTCCAAATCCAGAAAGCCGAAATGATATCCCACTTATCAAAAACAAAGTACGTCTATTACCAACAGGAGTTAAACTAACAGCAGGGACTAGTCCTTCATAATATAATATACCAAAGTTTGAATCCCTATTAGGAGAGGTGTCCACAATTAGTATTCAACAGTGTCTTAAATATGATTGCCTCCAATAAGAAGATACTTATAATTACCGAGAAAAAAAAAACTGTCTGTTAATGATACCTTCAAATCTAGTAATCACTAAACGGGCCTTTTTTAACTAAACATTTTTGGAGATAAAATTTTCATACTTTATTATTTAAAATAAACTAAACCTCAATTTAGGTGTATAATACTTTAGAGCACTATTATTAAAGTGAAAAAGAGTGAAATTAATTTAAACTATCAAAATAGAACCTGAACACTCCATAATTGGAATGGAAAAATCCATTCATCGGTTATTTTGATTGTTGGTTCTGCTTGTATACCGTAGGGTGAGTAGATCTAACCTGTTGAAATTGAGCTTGGTCATCTGAAAGAGACAGCTTGTGGCATAGTTGGGATGATCCAGAGAAAGGGAAGAAGAGGAATGATCACATGGCACTGTGTATTTCCTCAGACCCGGAAACGAAAAATAATAATCACGTGCTATTTCCATTTTTGAAGTTCTTCATTAGCAATCCATAAAGCAAGCTTTAAAAGCCGCCATGGAAGGGTCTGAGATCATGAGGAGGCTGTGTATGTGGGTGGAGAAGCAGAACCAATGTTCACATCAGAAATCTAATTCCCTGACTTCCAAAATCACCTCACGTACGCTCATACTGGTCGCTTTGAAGTCCAAGCTTTTATATTGTTCTGATCTGCAGCTCTAATTATCTATTCGAAACCAACAAATTAATTAATTGTCCCAAAATAAACATAGTCCAGGCAATAATGAGTAGTTTCTGGCACATAGAATTATGGGTCTTCACAACACGATATCAATTTCAGAGGGAGACGGGTAGCTTGTGATCGAGAGTGGGGACTGATCATCTGAATGTAAATTCAAATGGGGCTCTCAATTTATATTAAGAGAATTCCACGTGTGTCTATTGTATATGTCCCCAAACTAGGTGATGGAAATGAAAAGAAAACTTAAAAAAGAAGAAGAAAAAGAAGAAGAAGAAGAAAGAAAGAAAGAAAGAAAGAAAGGGAATCGCTCGTTCGATGTAACAATACAAGTTAATGGTATTTTATTGTATGTAGTCTTTTCATCTTTCTGTGCATCAAAAAAAGAGAAGAAAGCTCCCATTTTGGTGTTTCAGGTATGCCAAACATGGGCGAAATACGTGGAGGAAGGTGATAAAGCCGATTTTTTTTAAAAAATTAAAAAACAAAAGAAGAAGAAGAAGAGAGAGGTTAAAGTTGTGGACGAGAAGAGTTGCAAGTTGCAGAGTGGGGTCCTACTCACCACTGATAGAGACGCATAACATCTCAACTCCAAACCTACATTCGCTGAATTATGCCAATCCAAACATCCTCACTTAGCTTCCTACGACATCCATCCTTCTACTTTCACTTTCACCCTCCCTCTTTCCATTGTTTACAAACCCTAACTATCATTTTAGTTTATCTTTTTCCTTCGTCATGAAATTCATAATTTCAACGTCGATCGCTATCTTCTCCCCCCCCCCTCCCCGGCTCTCTCTATTTTTAATTATTCGGTGAAGGGTGAGACGAGAGATAAATAAAGCAAGTGGTTGATGAGAAGGGGAAGTATGTGGGAGGCTCAGTGTGATTCGCACTACGCCTCACCTTTTTGGATTTTATGAAAGTAGAAACTCGTCTCTTTCAGTCCACTTTCCCACTTTAATTACATCGTAAACATTATTTTACTTTGATTATATTGCCCTTTCATCATTTCTTCTTTCCTTCACATCCATCCATCCATCCATCCCTATTCTTCTTCTTGCCGACTCTTCTATGTATGTACTGTTTGTACGACCTTCACACAATTTCACTGCTACTATTAATTACAGCGTGCCGTGCCATGACATTCTGGTGTTGAAATTCCATCCCAACACACAAAAAGTAAACGCTGAATTTCATAACCATCATTTTTCGTTTCATACAAGGACGTTTGTCTTGATTTTTAAATTGGGTACGAAAAGTAGTTAAGCTAATAACTAGTTTGTTGG